TCTACTGTCGTTGCTCACTATTCCTAGAAAAAAAAATCCAAATTCCTTTCTGTGGCCTCCAGGACCCTACAGAATCAGGTCCCATCACCTCTCCATTCTCATCTTGCGCCACTTGCCTCTCACTCACTAACTGTAGTCACAGTCGTTTTCTTTCAGCTCTTCAAATCTGTCAACCCCTTTCTCACCTCAGGGCATTTTATTTATTATTATTATTATTTTTTTTTTAAAGGTAGGAGAATTTTTTTTTTAAAGATTTATTTTTATTTATTTATTTTTGGCTGCATTGGGTTTTGTTGCTGTGCACGAGCTTTCTCTAGTTGCTGTGAGCGGGAGCTACTCTTTGTTGAGGTGCATGGGCTTCTCATTGCGCTGGCTTCTCTTGTTGCAGAACACGGGCTCTAGGCCCACGGGCTTCAGTAATCGTGGCGTGTGAGCTTCAGTAGTTGTGGCTCGCAGGCTCTAGAGCACAGGCTCAGTAGTTGTGGCGCATGGGCTTAGTTGCTCCGCGGCATGTGGGATCTTCCCGGACCGGGGCACGAACCTGTGTCCCCTGCATCGGCAGGTGGACTCTCAACCCCTGCACCACCAGGGAAGCCCTCCTGTGACATTTTAATAAATTTTTGCTGACTCGACATCAAGCTTGGCTTTGTTACTTAAAACCGAGGGAGACCTAATGAATGCAGGAGGAATCTAAGAAAAATTATTGGGGAGAGCTAGATCTTGGGCAACTCCGGAACTGAGGAAGCTTCCCTACCCTTAGCCCCCTAGAGGCCACATCTGCTGTGGTGACTGGCGTGCTGTTTAATGCTGTCCCTGTCTTAGAGAACCAGCTGCTACTTGATTTAATAATACATTAGTAATACATATTCTTTCCTTATCACATTAGCTCAACAAATTTAAGGGAAAAAAATCACTAAAATTTGTCTTTCATACTTTTCCCCTCTTGCCTTTGAAACCAACTACTGCAGCTGCTAACAGAGGTCTCTCTATGTAGAGTGTGTTTTGTCCTTCTGGAGAAGACAAAAGAATTATTAAAAGGGCAGGCAGCTGCTTGTAATGACAGGAGAATGCAAAGCGTTTGTCAGCATTAACTCTTCTCTCCTTCCTCAGCTGAATCGCCATGGTCTTCCTCTTTATCCCTTTTTGGCCCGTACTGTTCCGGTCCAGGAGTGTAGAGGCCTTCACCCTGCCTGTCCTGCATCGTCTGTGTTAAACCTGCACGAGGCTCACCTCTAAGACTTTGAGCAAACCTAACAGCTGATAAACTCTACCCTGACTTATGGACACAATCTCCCTTTCTTTCACAAATGCTCGGATCATGCAATGTTCTAACAGGGGTATTTGCACAACAATTTTGCACGATGGGGATAATGACAGAGTCTACCTCATGAGGGTGCTGTGATAATTAAATGAGATAGGGCCATGGGTTTCAAACTTGGCTGCACATTAGAATCACTGGAAGAGTTTCAAAAATCCCATTGCTGAGCAGCACCTAGATAGGTTCAGTCAAAATTTCTGGTTGTGAGAGCCATCCGTCAATATTTAAAAAAATCTCCCTAGCTAATTCCAATGTGCAGCTACATTTTGGAGTCAGTGAGATAGTACTTGTTTATAAGTATTCAGTAAATGGTAGCTGTTTTATTATTATAATTAAAAATGGAGAATTACCCCAGTTTAACAGACTGCTGAAATTGAGGGCTTAGTAGGACCCAGATTCATTTTTTTGAATACTTTTTTAATTAATTTATTTTTGGCTGCATTGGGTCTTCATTGCTGCGTGCGGGCTTTCTCTAGTTGTGGCGAGCGGGGGCTCCTCTTTGCTGTGGTGCGCAGGCTTCTCACTGCAGTGGCTTCTCTTGTTGCGGAGCACGGGCTCTAGGCACATGGGCTTTAGTAGTTGTGGCACGCGGGCTCAGTAGCTGTGGCTTGCGGGCTCTCGAGTGCAGGCTCAGTAGTTGTGGCGCACGGGCTTAGCTGCTCCATGGCATGTGGGATCTTCCCTGCCCAGGGCTTGAACCCGTGTCCCCTGCACTGGCAGGCAGATTCTTAACTAACACTGTACCACCAGGGAAGCCCCTCATTTCTTCTTTAATTCATCTATCTAACAATAACTGAGCGTTTACTACCTGCTAGGCTCTATGCTAAATTACTCCTCTCCACTTGAAAGTAAAAAGATAGTTATCGCCTTCAGAATGAAATTCAAGTTCTTTAGGACAGTCTTCCCACGCCCCCAACCCCGATTTCTGTGTGCTGTTACCTGCCAGGGCCAGGGCCCACATGCTTGTGAGCTCCAGCCACTCCCAACTATTCATAACGTTCCAGGCCCTTTGTCTCTGGGCCCTTCTCCATACTCTTCCTTTTGCTTAGGGTGCTCTTTCCACACTCCTTCTGCCTTTTCACTTGGCCTACCTTATGGGATAGAATTCCTGGTACAGAACCTGTAGGACAGATGGGTGCCTAGCACTCCCTGGCAGTCCCGCATCCCCCATCCCCCCTGATGGGCAGCTGGCCGATGTCCTCTCATTGTCAGGATTCTGTGAGTGCCCTGCAGGGGTGAATGATTAGTTCTCAAGGTCTTCTCTCTGCAGAGAGGCTGGGCCAACCTCTCTCTGCTCTTCCTCAGGCCTCACTCTGGAGGAAGACTGCGCAGGCCCAGGCAGGCTTTCTTTCCTGTGTCTTGCTTAACTGGTTCTGTTGTTCCAAGACCCCAAGAGCTGCTCCCCAGGGCTCCTCTGAGGGAGAGAACTTTTCCTCTGGAATCATCCAAGGGAGCAGGGCAGCTCAGAGCTCCATACTCGGAATGGCCTGAGGGAGGCAGGATCTTCCGTGGCCACTACATGAAATCCCACGGCGTTGGCAGCCTTTGGCGAGTAATATGACTTTATGACCAGAGTTAACCCCTGAATACTATGGTCCAAAGGAGAGAGACCCTCTGGTGCATCTGTATCTGCAGGCACCTAACATAACGGGTGAGGGGCTGCGAGCTGTGAATCCTGCTGAAGGAAGGACTGCTGTTAGGAATCTTGTAACCCTTTCCTCACGCTGACCTCCAGGGTGGTCCTGCTTAGAAACATCCCAGTGCCTTCTCTCCATTTCTGAGTCTGTCAGGAGGCGGTCTAAGGGCATAGACTTGCCTGTCCTGTCCCTGGGCCGACAGAGCTCTTTCTATAGGAGCCAACCAAGAAGACCTTACTCAGTGTTCCAAGTTTGTCCATACACACACACACACACACACCTTGATTCTGGCTTTTCCAGCTCCAGACCTGTGCCACGGTACCTCCTTTCTGTTCCATCCTTCAAGATTCATATTCTACTACTGGGCATGGGGAAGGGGAAATCTGAGTGTGTTCTATACATAATCTCACCTAAACTTTTGCAAAAATCTTATGTAGTTGGTGTAGTTATTCCCGTTTTACAGAAGAGGAAACGTTCTTCCCAAGGTCACATGGTTGGAATACCGGTTAACTTTTGCTATGTTACAAGTCATCCCCAAAACTAGTGGCTTAGATCAACCACCATGTGTTTAGCTCACAACTCTAGAGATTATTTGGCTGTCAGCTGGGGTGTTGGGAGTAGGGCACAACTCATCACATGATCTCTTTCATACTCCAGCAGGATAGCTGGGGCTTGTTCATATGGCAGCTTGGTAGGATTTTGCTTGGAAGACTGGATGGATGCAAGTCCTCTTGATACTTAGGCTTGGAACTATTACTGTCACTTCTGCCATAATCTATTGGCCAAAGCAAGGCATGAGGCCTGCCTGGATTCAAGGGATGGTGAAATAAACCTTACTTATTCTTTGTTGGGAGGAGCTGCACAGTCATATTGCAAAGGGGCCTGAATACCGGGAGGGGTGGGATGGAGGGTCATGTCCACTTCTGCAATCTACTGTAGTTGTTACGTGACAGAGGTAGGATTTTATTTTTCAGTTGCAAAAATAGTGTACACACACGAGAAGAATTCTAACAGTAAACAAAAGGGGAAATGAGGAAGAGAAAGTCTCATTCTTCGTCCTGGACTAGGAAAAAACATTCTAATCTAGTCCCACTCTCCACATAGAAACATGATTGACAGTTTCTTGTGTATCTTGATGCGATTTTGTTTTTCCTGCATGCACATAGATGGGAGCCCGACATGTACAATTTCCTGCACTTCGTTCTTTTCACTTAATAGTAACGCAACTAGGTTCTTTCCGTAGCAGCACAACTAGAAATGCTCCGTTCCTTTTAAGGTCTACGTAGTGATCCACTGAAGAAACATACCATGTTCATTCAACCACATCTCCTACTAGTGGACACTTAAGTTTTCTTCTAGTTTTTGTTAAAAATAATGCTGTGGTGACTATCCTTGAATATCCTTCTTTGTGTACTTGTAGACTAGATTCCTAGAAGAGGAACTTCTAGGTTTAATAGCAGAGTTGAGCCTTGATCTGTTCCCAAAGCACGTGCCCTTTTCAAGATGCGTCTCCAGTTACCCACTGTTCCTCTAACCTTTTCTGTAACTAGAAGCTACCTTAGGAAGCATGTCCCCCTGTGTACATATGCACATATTGGATGATGGGCATGACCTCTCCACACCCTTCCTTCCTAAGCAGGCTCAAGAGGTCCTGAGCTATGCATTATTAAGCTCTTTCAAGAAGATCCAGATGTTTTCTGTGTCTTCCTTCATGATGTTTTTCAGGAGACATGTACTACTCTGTTACAGGCCAATGATAAAAGAATCCTAGTAACAAATATTAACATACAAATGGTAGGTTCCATCCAAGTGAAGACCTAAGGTATAAATGAAGATTTCACAAATATTACAAATACAGACAGGTGGTAAAAGAATTATCAAATCATCACACAGCAATAATAGCAAAGCCCTGTTGTCACACTGAGCAGTTATATTACATGAATTCTGTCTTTGTTCTTGGCAACTTTAACAGTTCATGAACGTTAAGTATAGTAGCAAATATGCAGTGAAGATATTTCTTAAGATCCTATTTTTTCATTCTTTAGTATTGTTTTTGGGTTTCTTCCTGGATCCTGATGCCCACATGCCACCTGCCTGGATGTTAGTTGGAGCCCTGAATTCTTACCAGGTCTGTATGGACGTGACTCTTTTATGAACAGTGGGTTGGTGACTGTCAGAATCTGGAGGTGGCATGCAAGCACGCTCAGATACCTCACTCCATTTCTCACAGCCTCTGATTATGTCCCTGAGTAGATGTAGGCAGTAATTCTGTGGAAGGGAAAAAACCACAGGGGGCTCATTTCTGTGATGTGGGGAGAGTCTGCCTTTCAGGGCTGCTCTGCAGATAGGTTAAAGAAGTGGATTTCTAGAGAATGCAGTTTCAAAAAGTAATTACTTAATGATTTGAGCTCTTTAGAGAATTATAGGCATGTGCCTTAGACTTCAGAGCAGAAGGTACCCAGTTTCCTATCTGTTACTTAATAACAGAGACATTGCTGCTGTCAAAAAGGCAGCGTTCTGAAATGTTCCTATTAATATAGCCCAAGGAAGAATGATGTTTTATTCCACGGTACACGGAACAGTGAAGCATTTAAAGGCTAATCACTGCCCAGCCACAATAATCTGTGCATTTCTTCATTCACTTATTCATCATTTATTTATTGAGTGCCACACTGTGCCAAGCACCATGCTGGGTGGAGATATCAAGATAAATAAAACACACATACACCTCCCCATGTATCAGTTAGCTCTGGCACTGTAACAAACACACCAAAACACAGTGGCTTAAAACAAAAACTACGTATTTAGTTTACACGGCTCTGGGCCAACCATTTGGGCCGGGCTCAGCTGGCCAGTTCTTCTCGTCTTCGCTGAATTTACTCAGGGTCTGTGGCCAGCTGCGGGGTCAGTCAGGGCTGGCTGGTCTGGGGGTTCTCAGCTAGGATGGCTCGTCTCTTCTCCACATGCCTCATCCTCCCGCCGTCTGGCCTGGACTTACTCACGTAGGGTCTAGGCAGATTACAAGAGAATGAGGGGAAGCCTGCCGGGTCTCTTGAGGATTAAGCTTTGAACAGACATAATGTCCTTTTAGTTATTCTGTTGGTCAAATCAGAACAGATCGACTTACAAGGCCAGGGAAAGGTGAATACCTCTTGATAGTCATGGCCAAGAGACTTGGCAACAGACTGAGGAATAATGATGGTTAATTTTTGCAGAGTCTATCTCACTGCCCTTTATAGCTCATAGTCTGTGGTCAGAGGGACAGGAAATTGTGATACGTGCTACTAAGAAATTGTTTCTTTCTCTTCCTCTCTTTCCCTCCATCTCTAAGTAACATTTTTACATTCTACATCAGGGAAATCTAGTCACTCCAGTTAAAACACTTCAACGAGTCAAAGGTCTGGCACAGAGCTGCTATTATACGTTAAAAAGCAGAAATGTTACAAGGCAGTTGGAGCGATCCATGAACCTCATGACCACCAAGCTGTTGGTCATATCACACACTCGATTCTATGATAGCATGTCTGCCTTTTAAATATATTATCAACGTACAAACTGTGCCTGGGTTTTGTTGAAACAAATTGTATCGCTGCACACACACATATTTCTTCAACTAGACGCAGAAAATCATCTTGTTAAAATGCACGGTGTGAAACCAATGAAAATAAAGCCATAGCCAAATCCGTAGCCATAAAATAGGATCTTTTCACCGAGGACCGTTTTTTAAAATTCCATCAGCGAGTAAACACCTGTGAAAATATGCGAGCTCAACGCCAACACCAGATGCATCTAATTAAATCAATTTCCAGCTCTTGCTGTCCGAGAACAGCTGTGTGTAAAGCACGTTTCCTCCGCTCCTTCCCACCACTGTGAAATCACTGAGGGGGGGCAGAGAAAGCCCCAGGTGAGTGGGTCTCAAACTTGTGTGCATGAGGATCACCTGGATAGGGGTGGTGTGGGGCATAATTCTTGTTAAAACTGATGTTTTTTTTACTCTACCCTTTCCCCTCGATCTTGGTAATTCTCCCGGGAAATCTGCACACAGGTGGTCAGGATCACCCTTTCAGGATCACTGCCTTTATCTTAGAGAAGTTTTCCTTCCAGGAACTTTAAAAAAATGAATTAGGACCTCATACTTCGTCTCTCTATGTCAGGCCGATAGTACCAAGTCTCTGCCAATCTAGTTTTCTCACTAAACTTTCTGGAGACCTTGAGATATGAACAGCACTAACTCACTAACCAGAGACCAAAATGCCTTTCAAAAAATCCAATTTGCCGCAAAGGGGAGAGAATGCAGCTGTGACTTGTGGATGGGCACCAAGGGCTGTTGTTTGAATTTCCTCTAAAGCTGTAGATCTGTACAGTCTACGAGTACAAAGGGAATCTGGGGCCACTTAGTTAAACTCCATTTTATGGATACAGAAACTGAAGTCAAGTGTCTTCTCTAAAAGTCGCAGAGATGGGGCTAAAACCCAGGTCTTCCCATTCTCTAAAGTTAGTTTTCTTAAAAAATGTGGAGTCTGCAGTGCTCTGTCTACTGAGAGTCCTTTGGGTGCATGTTCTCTTGTGAGGCGGCCAGCAGAGTGGGGGAGAAAGGACACCCCAAGAGTGTTCTTGGTGCCCCTTTCCGACAGAACTGGAGTCAGGTGACCTGGGGCCTCGTGATTCTCCAGCCCCAGTCCGCGTGTGGGATGCAGCAGCGTGGAGTGTGTGTGTGTGGGAACTTCACGCTGAGTGTGTGCTGAGGTGCTGTGGTGTGTCGCCTGCCACGGCCCCTAGCCTCCTTCTGTTCTGGGTTCTGAGAGGAAACAAGACAGGCCTCCCTGCGAGAGTTTCACACCGGCTTAGAGGCTGCCCCGTGCTGACTACGCTGCCGCGTTCCCCGTTTTTCCCCCACGGCAGACATCACTAATCCAGTATGACAGTTCTTCCAGCAGAGCCAAAACCTGGTTTCAGCATCTTCCTCCAGTTAGCTCTGTGGGCAGCCACTTCAGATCATCCAGTCAGCGGGAGAGAGGAGACTAGTCTGCAATCCTGCTTCTCAGTGATTTTGTCTAGAAGTAATTCTAAAATCGACATCCAGGGAATAGGGCTGACAAGAACTTGGGGAGGGAGGGAAGGCAGAGTCAGAGCTATGGAACACTGCGGCTGTGGCTCAGGGCTGGGTTCCCCCCTAGCAGCCCAGGTGTTACATGCTGACCTCTACATGGGCATCCCTTCCCACTGAATCTCCTCTGGTCCAGTGTGTGTGTGTAACAAAGACCCAAGACAACCAGCTGGACCTGCGGGTTCAGTTTGCAGCCATAGAACACAGTGATCCCACTGATGGGGATCAAACTGATGTCCTTGACTTTCCTGGTGTGATTCTCAACCAAACAAGCTACCTTGTGACCAACAGAGAGAATAAAGTCTTGTGACTCAAAGTGTAGTCCAAGGACCAACATGTTGGCCTCCCTGGGAACTTGTTAAACCCACCTCCTAGAGAAATGGAAATAGAAAAATAAACAAATGGGACCTAATGAAACGTAAAAGCTTTTGTACAGCAAAGGAAACCATAAACAAGATGAAAAGACAACCCTCAGAATGGGAGAAGATAGTTGCAAATGAAGCAACTGACAAAGGATTAATCTCCAAAATATACAAGCAGCCCATGCAGCTCGATATCAAAAAAACAAACAACCCAATCCAAAAATGGGAGAAGACCTAAACAGACCTTTCTCCAGAGAAGATATATAGACTGCCAAGAAACACATGAACGGATGCT